TCAGCAACAATGCCCATGGACCCACCAAGGTGAATTAACTTATGTGATGATACAGCTCTGAGTTCAGTGTGTATATAATCTAATAGGAAAGGCATTTGAGGTTATATCCTTAAGTACAGTGAATGTAAGACCAGACCTACCAAGGCCGGGTGTAATGGTAACACCTTTGCTATATATGTTAAGGGCATGCATGGAGCTTATCGGAGGGCTTCCGGAGAAATCCACAGGAAAGCCAGTAGGACTTGGCTTCAGCTTATAGGCTGCACCCTCACGAGATCGTGTTGTCCAATTTTAGATGGGCAGATGGGAACCCCGGGGAGTCCAGGAGTGGTTGGTGGGTTGTGAGGTCAGAGGGTCGACTGTGGGAATCCCGCGGAGGTTGAGGGGCCAGGCAGTGACGGGTCGGAGGTCGAGTGATAGATGGGTCAGAGCCCGTAGGCCCTAACGAGGTAAATAGTGGTGTGTTTCAAAGAGGAGATTAGAGTGGAAAATGTACTGAGATTACTGGGGAGAATCTAAGCTGATTTTCTGACTGGATTGTATGTACAACATCTGCCAGACTATATAGACTGTGGAATGTACATATGTCATACCAAATCCAGTAATAATGAAATCTAAACTAGTAAACATGAAATGAGATACATAAGTAAACACCAAACTTGGTGTTAGGAATGGAACAGAGCAGAGCAGAGTCGGAAACATGACAGGTTGTTAGACCATAATGGGAATGGGGTGGGAGCGGAGTCTGCAATGTGACAGGTCATTTGACCATAACAGGAACAGGGCTCAGTTAGAGAGCTGTCAGGTTTTCTGAGGGGAGTCTGGTGACTGGTACATGGGACAGGGTCAGAGATAGACAGGTGCAGGTTCCAGTGGGTATTCTGGTGATTGATACATGAAGTAATGAAGGTTGAGCATGGACAGGTCTGACATCTGGAGTCCAGCAGGTATTCCAGTAAACTGATAAATGGTGCATGCAGGATGTTGGTGCATATAAGTTAGTGCCTGGAGTCCAGCAGGTTTTCTGGTCATAACAATATATGTGAAAAGCCCTGGGTTCAATTCCCAGTCTGGCCATTCACTTTTCTACATTTGGACATATGATATGGTAAAGATGAAACTAGAATTAGTAATGGAAATCCAACAGAAGAGATACAGTTATTTTGTACAGAATTTCTGACTGACTCCCCTTGCTCGTTTTCCTGTCCTTTTATGTCTTTATATTGTAAACAACTGACTAAAAGATGACATAAGAATGAAATAATGAATGATGTAAAGCTGAGACAAGTTGGAAATCAAGTCAAAAATCCAGTTAAGTAGTGTCAAAAGAATGTTGAGTCAAAGTGTCAAAGTTGAGTTGAAGAATTGTGGGAACTGATCTTGTATGTTTATGACATCCCCTCTGGCAGTGTCTCTGATACCAATAATATGGCTTTTATATCACTTCCCATTTTGGTCTAACCTCACATAAACCAGGTATTCCATTCTGCATCAATCTGTTAAGTTCTGGATCTCTGGGCAGATTCTCTGGTGGATATTCTGGACACTTCCCAGTAAATGCCCACAGAGTTCCAGAGGATTAGTCTGGGGAGTTTCCAGGGATTAGTTTGGGGGGTATCAGAATATATACCAGAGTGCAAAATGGACTTGGCTTCAGCTTATGTGCTGCACCCTCATGCACTCACTCAGGTGTCCATATTTCAGGAGGCCAATATATGTCAGAGTGTTTATAGATACTTGGAGTTCCTGGGGGCTCGGGATGTCTGGAGTCTGGAGAGTTCCGGATATCAAGTGGACAGAAAGACAGAAGGGGTAAGAGCTAATGAGATACAAACTAAGTTGAGATTAAAACTAAAGAGTAAGTACATGACTATGGAAGACTATATAGATGTTCCAATTATTGTACTACAAGTCTGGGAGTATAATAAGACCTATTTGGAACTGTTTCCAAACTAAGGATATAATAACAAGTAAGATACATACATGAGGAACAAGGATGGGTACAGATCAGGAAACAAGAGCAAGAACAATAAACAAATGAAAGAACATCTGTCAACCAGTCAGTTACCAAATGTGGAACAAAGGAAGCAAGTCAGAATGTCCACAGACATCCGATACTATTCAGAAAATGGATCCTAACACTATAGTGACTAAGTGTGCATATTTCTGGGAAAGCCACAGGTTCCAGGTAAGTTGGAACAATGGCATAGAGAAGGGTTGACAAGGATGATCTGGTGAAGGTTGGGCCACAGACCAAAGTATCTAGAACATACACTGGGAGTCTGGCTGGAATCCAGGTCGGGAAATGACCAAGGACACTTGGAGATACTAATTGGGGAAGGGTGGAGTTTGATGGGCTCCAGGTCATAACAGGAGGTGTCTAAGTCAAGGGCAGAATACTGGAATAGGATATGAAGGGTACTTGAGGATAAGGGTCTGGTTCTGGTGGATTCCAGATCTTGATACTAGTCTGGAAGATGGGTTCAGAACCTGATATGATTTCTGGGGAATACTCCATGGAGTCTCTGGGAATGGATCTTCACACAATCTTCCATTCCATCTGTCTGTTGCCACTTACCCTGCCTTGTCATATTATGAATTTATGTATACTCCATCAACTGCTATGTTTTGTTGTTACATTACATTTCTATTTCCTCCATTTCACTGGCCTTTTGGACTGAATTTTAAATACAGAACACCTGGCTTTTCATGTGCTTGGTCATAGACTTATTTTATGAACAATTGTGTTAGCAACTGTCTCAATGACTTGACCATTGTGCACAGGTGATTAGGATTATCCTTAATAACAAACTGTCACTGGTACAGCAAATGTTGGATACATGACAAATTTAAAGGAGCTCCTTACATGATAAAATGTGACACTAATCAAAAGGTTCAAAATTATGTGAATGACCAGTACCTCCAGACAAAGATAACCTCATTATTAAGGTAGGGGCAAAGCAAATCCAGCACCCTTATGTAATGTGGGGACCTATGTCACATGACATGTGTTACAACTGGAAAACCTGCCAGACTCCAGGAACCACCCTATAGGCACCTGCACTCTTTATGCACCAGTTATCAGTTTACCAGAATACTGGCTGGAACCCAGACATCAGACCTGTCCATGCCTGACCTCCATTATCTCATGTACCAGTCACCAGAATACCCATCTGGGACCCACACACGCTGTACCTGTCTATCTCCAACCCTGTCCCACACATCAGTCACTGGACTCCACCCAGCAAACCTGTCCATGCTCTAACTGAGCCCCATTCCCATTATGGTCAAATGACCTGTCACATTTTGGACTCTGCCTCTACTCTGTTCAATTCCTAACACCAAATTTGGTGTTTACTTATCTTGTTTTATGATTACTTGTTTGGATCTCATTATTACCAGATTTGGTATTGCATATATTCTAAAGTCTATATAAACTAGCTAATGTTGTACATACAGTCCAGTCAGAAAATCAACTAAGTTTTCAGACTAAATCCTCCCCCAGTTACTTTACATACCCACTCCATCTCCATCTCACAATGCTCAACCTTGTCAGAGCCTGCAGGCTTTCTGACTGGTCCTTCAACATCAACCTCCAACCTATTGACCTCCAACCAATCATCTACACCTGGACTCCCCAGGTTTCCCATCCACCTGTCTGAAGTTGGACATGATGATCTCACAAGGGTGCAGCCTATTGTTATGACTGTGTCACAACCCGACGGTTCCCGAGGTTATCGCCACCTATTGACGATTCATGTCATCGCTCAAGTCCTCACATAGGAAGCTGTCGGTTCCCCGACGCTGATGTATGCCTTTGCAGTGATCAAACTCCATTTACACCCCCGTCAAAATATACTCATACTATCTGGTTAAACTCTGATACATCCCTTTTATTATGATGATCCACTCTGCTCTATGTTTCACATATGTCTATATATACTTGTAACCCTCGGACTATTTCCTTTTCTCGTAATCCTGCTCTCAGTTAATGTACGGCCTCCGAACTAATCGTAACCTTCCCATTTCTAGTCAAGCTTATTTGTCAATACCGCTTTCCGCTCTTCTCCTAGTTAGTGTTTTCTAGACGCCTGATACTTGTATATGAACCTGCTGTAGTTGTAGTTACTAGGCAATCAGAATATCGACTCAGAATACCCACTTACACCTCCAGAAGCCTCATACTAAGTACACCACTATCCACCCTTGCGTGCACTCGCCCACTCTCGGTCTCCGACCCCTTGGCCTGACACTCAACTTATCCTTCGGTTCCGATCGGTAGTTTTGCTGAGAGGTATTCATTAGGACTAGTCTCTGCCCATCCGAAATTTAAGGACACCCGATGGATTACTGTGAGGGTGCAGCTCTCATGCCTTGATGGAGGCATCACACAAGGAAATCTATCAGTCCATTATTGATTTGATTGTGGCACATGAGAACATTGAGATAAATGGTGGAGATGATGTTGATGAGGATATACCCATTGAACCTCACCCTACCCAGTGTGATGTTCTCAAGGCAATATCCACTATCAACAGGTACATTGATGACAGGAATGACCCCATCACATGCAAATTCGAAGCAATTCTGGGCTCATTCAAATGGCAGCTCTGCCTTGAAGCAATGGTGAGTCTGAAAGAAATTGTTATAACTGACTTCTTAAAATCATAGATGGATCACACACCTTAGTCTACACTTGTTGCAGTAACATAGTTTAACATAATTCTATAATCCTTTCAAAGATTTTTTTACAATTTTTCCACAGTTTTTGAGATTATTTTTAGCATACCTCTCCAAACCCATAACCCCTCATAGCCCATACCCTGGGCCATCCACCAAGGGGTATGGGTTAAGAGGGTTTGACTGTATGATGTTAGATTATGTAATACCAACCACTGTTCCATCTGGTATACAGCTCTGAATTCAGTGTGTACATAATTTGATAGGAAAGGCACTTGAGGTTATATCCTTAGGTACAGTGTAAGACCAGACCTACCCAAGGCCAGGTATAGTGGTAACACCTTTGCTAAACATATATGTGAAAGACCCTGGGTTCAATTCCCAGTCTGGCCATTCACTTTTCTACATTTTATCATATGATATGTTATGACTGGAATTCCCGCCAGACTCCGGGCACTAACTTATACGCACCTGCACCCTATATGCACCCATTGTCAGTTTACTGGAATTCCCACTGGACTCCATACATCAGACTTGTCTACGTTCATCTTCATTATGTTGTGTTTCAGTCACCGGAATACCCACCGGACCCTGCTTGTAAAACCCATCATCCCTCTAACAGAGCCCCGTTCCCATTTTAGTCAAATCACCTGTCACAATTCGGACTCCACTCTGTTCTGTCCCGTTCCTAACACCAAATTGGTGTTTACTATTCTCGTTTTATGTTTTGCTAGTTTCGTTTCATTATTACTGGATTTGGTATGTCATTCATTCCATGATCTATATAGTCTGGCAGATATTCTACATACAATCCAGTCAGAAAATTGGCTTAGATTCCCCCCAGTAATCTAATACATTTTCCACTCTAAACTCCTACTTGAATTACACCGTTCATGCTAGTCGGAGCCCACAGGCTCTGGCACATCTATCTCTCTTAGATAAAAAAGAATAAACAGTAGAAATTCGATAACTCTCCCAAAATAAATGATAAAAATATGAAATAAATTGTAAAAATCAGGTTAATTTCAAGAGACTATTGTACAATAATTTCGTCGCAATATAAGTATATTTAAACGTGTTTTTATCAATTTGTTTAGGGGAGATTGGATAAAAATCGGAAAAACCTAAAAATACATAACAGTTGCCACTATACCTGGCCTTGGGTAGGTCTGGTCTTACACTGTACCTAAGGATATAACCTCAAGTGCCTTTCCTATCAAATTATGTACACACTGAACTCAGAGCTGTATACCAGATGGAACAGTGGTTGGTATTACATAATCTAACATCATACAGTCAAACCCTCTTAACCCATACCCCTTGGTGGATGGCCCAGGGTATGGGCTATGAGGGGTTATGGGTTTGGAGAGGTATGCTAAAAATAATCTCAAAAACTGTGGAAAAATTGTAAAAAAATCTTTGAAAGGATTATAGAATTATGTTAAACTATGTTACTGCAACAAGTGTAGACTAAGGTGTGTGATCCATCTATGTATCTATCTTGACTCACGACCTCTCAACCCATGACCTCTGACCTACGACCCCTCGACCCATGAACCCCTCCCGGACTCCCCGGGATTCCTGTCTGCCTGTCTGAAATTGGACAACACAATCTCGCAAGGGCACAGCCTATAAGCTGAAGCCAAGTCCTACCAGATATTCCATGGGTTTCTCCAGAAACCCACCATGTACGTACCCTAACATGATACAGTAAAGGTGAAACTAGAATTAGTAATGCAAATGCAACAGAAGAGATACAGTTATTTTGTACAGAATTTCTAACTGACTCCCCTTGCTCCTTTTGCTGTCCTTTTATGTCTTTATATTGTAAACAACTGACTAAAAGATGACATAAGAATGAAATAATGAATGATGTAAAGCTGAGACAAGTTGGAAATCAGTCAAAAATCCAGTCAAGTAGTGTCAAAAGAATATTGAGTCAAAGTGTCAAAGTCAAGTTGAAGAATTGTGGGAACTGATCTTGTATGTTCATTACATCCCCTCTGGCAGTGCCTCTGATACCTATCATATGGCTTTCATATCACTTCCCATTTGGTCTAACCTCACATCAACCAGGTATTCCATTCTGCATCAATCTTCCATTCCATCTGTCTGTTGCTACTTACCCTGCCATGTCATATTGTGGATTTCTGTATATTACATCACCTGCTATGTTTTGTTGTTACATTACATTTCTATTTCCTCCATTTCACTTGCCTTTTGGACTGGATTGTAAATACAGAACACCTGAGCTATTTATGTGTTTGGTTATAGACTGGTTTTGTGAACAACTGTGTTAGCAGCTGTCTGAATGACTTGACCATTGTGCATAGGTGATTAGGGTTATCCTTAATAACAAACTTCTAGTGGTACAGCAACTGTTGGATATATGACAAATTTAATGGAGCTCCTTACATGATGAAATGAGACACTAATCAAAAGGTTCAAAATTGTGTGAATAACCAGTACCTCCAGATCTATACTCAGCTATTCAGAGTCTTCCTAGGCCAACCCTGTCCTGAATGCTAAAGCCCGATCAAGGCAGGTCTACACTGATAATCAAATCTCATCTATTCAGACTTCAACTAGATGCCCCCAAAACACTGTGAGACTTATTGATATAGGAGACAGAGGCAAGCAGGAATGGACTAATTTCATTAGTGCATGTTCTTTGTAATGGGAGTGTTTTCCCTGTTTAAGCTCCACCATTGTGCAGTCAGCTCCTGCCACCCTTTTGTCTCTTGCCACCATCATCTAAGCTTCACCTGGACACTGCTCTAGTTTTGGCACTGCCATAGAGAGGTCCATTAATCCTTTTTGGCAGGGGGTTCAGAAAATGGGTGACACAGATATCCTTCATCCCTCTTAAAGTCTATCATGCCTTTCTGTCAACCACTTCAGATCTTCAAACCATAATGACTTATACTATGACTCCATCAACCCACCACTGTCATGTTTTTATGATTGAACCATAATGGCTATCCTACACTATGCCGACCACATCAGCCATTTGCTGTCTATGTTCATATAATAATCCAGTGGCTCTTTGAAGACACAGCCTTTCTGTCTTCCCTCTCCTCATCCTGGCCTTCAACTGCATTCTTTTGGTGACATTTGTGATATGTTCACTCCTGGCCCTCTGTGCCTCTGCTCCCTTCTTCTATTGGGATCCATCATGTCCTCATCAGCATGTTTTGTGCAATGGAGCCTGTGGCCCCTGGATTTTCTTCCACCAGGGCCTGTTCCCTCAAACATGGACAGAGACAAAGATGGAATAGACTAATTTCATCAGTCCATGTTCTTTGTAATGGGAGTGTTTTCTCCTTTTAAGCTCTGCCACTGTGCAGTCAGCTCCTGCTGCCTTGACTGAGATAGGTCTAACTGGGTTACCTGGAAGAATTAGATGTCGATGGAACTCAGCACTGTAGAGGTCTAAAACATCACCTTGAGGGAACTGTGAGGGGGCTGTGACTGCTGCCAACTTTTGGGGTGAAGTACATAATAATGGAAGATGATTGGGCCAAGGTCAAAGCTGTGGAGCAATGACAGGACAAATTTGAACAGTACAGGGCATGTATCAAAACACAAGTATTCACATCTACATATCACACTGAGCCTTCAGATTGAAATTTAGATGTTTTGAGTTATGAAAGAAGTTTGGGATGTGCTGGACTCTCAAATGACAATTTGATTACCATTATCCTTGGATCACTACCAAAGTCATACCATCTGTTAATCAGCATTATATTGATGTCAGTAAAGTTCTCGGCTACAGCTCTAGAACTAGTAAAGATTGTCAATGCCATAATTGAAGAATACAAATGACTTCCCATAGATGAAAAGAAGTCAAAAGCATCTGAGATGGCAATGGCTACCTCAAAGGCCTGCAGCAAGCTGAGAGATAGTGAAAGGCCACAAAGATCCACTGAGAACATCAAATGCTGGAACTGTGGAAGAAAGGGTCATTTTGCAGCTGACTGTCACAAACCAAAGAAAAGGCATGACAAAAAGGCATGATAATGTGAATGGCAACATGGGCAAGAATGTGAACATCACCATGTCGAGTATGGATTTTGCATTAATGACAATATTCACCAGACCCACTTTATTGTGGGAAACAAGTCCATTTAAGCACATGGAAACTGGTGTTTATGATTGGCAATGTCAAATCACAAGTCACCTCACCACCATCAATAGAAACAGTGGATCAACAGTCATTTTGAATGACATACCAATTGAGGGAGGGGAAGGGACCCCTGGACACTCAGAACATTGTGCAAAATGCACAAAATGGAAATCCCAATGAGATGTTACCAACAGTTTCAATGTCATATGAAACCACCATGACAGCTGCAATGCAAGAATTTGACAAATCAGCAGCAAATGTTAAAGAGGCAAAATACAGTATCCAGGAACTCATAGAACTGCCAGAAAATGTGAATGCTAGGGATAGCAAGATCACTCTGCTGTATAAACACAGGCCAAAAGGTGAAATTACCAAATGCAAATCTAGATTCACCATGCAAGGTTTGTCACAGGCCAAAGTCACTGTAGTTGATGTTGACAATATGGCTATAGCAGGGAATTCAAAGGTGATCATTCTGAAATTCATGGATGAGCTGCAACAAGAGGTCAAAATAAAATACTTAGACTTAAATGGCTCCTGTGAATTGAAGTCAAATGTGATTGTCCAACACACACAATCTCATTCTTGCAGCACACATATATTGACAAGATTGTTGCATGATTTGGATTATGAGATGCAAAGTCATTGACTACCCCCCTCAATCCCCATCAATGCCTCTCCATGTCACAGTCACCTAGTACACCCTGTCAGTTTGAAGACATGCATAACATACCCTACCATGAGGCAATAGGATCCCTGATGTACATGGCACTCAGTACCCACCCAGACATAATGTTTGCCATCTCCCTTTTCATGCAATTTATGCAAAATCCAGGCCAGCCACATTGGGAAGTTGTACAAAGAATCTTTAGATATCTGAAAGGGACAAGAGATCAATGGTTAGTATTTGGGGACAGGCAAGATAACTCACAGAGTGCACTTGACATTTTCATGGACATATGTAGATTGGGATTTGCAAGAGCATCAATATACAACATCAGGAAGTATTTTTAACATGGATAGAGGTGCAATTTCCTGGAATTCAAAAAAGAAACTTATCATTGCACTACTATTGATAGAAACGGAATATATAGCTGCGACTCACATTACAAAGGAGCTCTTTTGGACACAACTTGAAGCTGAAATTGCTTGCCCATTCACTTGTCCTATCACTGTCAATTGTGATAACCAATCCACGACTCCAATTATCAAGACTGGTGAATCTCACATTCAGATGAAAGCACATTGATAATCAAAATCACTGTAT